AAAATTTTAAAAACTCTTAAAGGAATAGTACACCCAAATCATGATTAGCCTTCATTTTCTACTCACCCCCATGCTGAACAACACTCTGGAGTACTTTTTTGATATCTCAAATGCATCTGGAGATCTGGGAGGCTTCTTGCTGTCTGCTGACATTCAAATAATGGAGGTCTATGGCGCCCGAGGCAGAAAGGTCCATAAAAGTCCACAAAAAACGTGTCAATATTCCTCCATACTGCTCGTCCAATGTATTCCAAGTGTCCTGAGTGGGTAGCATCCATAATTTACTCGAAACGAAGTCATTTAGAATGTTTTTAGAGCATAAACAGTAGTGTATAGGATTTGCTAAAAGCGCGTTCATGAGTCTATGGAAACCGCTGCAGACCAAACCAGATGAAAGTGCGCATTCAGCGTCTGCTCTGCCGATAATGCAAGCATAGAAGAAGAAATGTGCTGTTTATCTGTGCAAAGAAAGAAATAACGAAAGAAAAATGTCTGAGGACTTCAGTGTTGAGGAAGAGCATGAGTTCTTTGCCGAGCTGAATGCGCACTTTCATCCGGTTTGGTCTGCCGCGGTTTCCGTAGACTCGTGAACGAGCTTTTAGGAAATCCTATACACTACTGTTTATGCACTAAAAACATTCTAAATGACTTCGTTTCGAGTAAATTATGGACGCTACCCACTCAGGACACTTGGAATACATTGGACGAGCAGTATGGAGGAATATTGACACGTTTTTTGTGGACTTTTATGGACCTTTCTGCCTCGGGCGCCATAGACCTCCATTATTTGAATGTCAGCAGACAGCAAGAAGCCTCCCAGATCTCCAGATGCATTTGAGATATCAAAAAAGTACTCCAGAGTGTTGTTCAGCATGGGGGTGAGTAGAAAATGAAGGCTAATCATGTTTTGGGTGTACTATTCCTTTAAGTAGAATGTGTGGCCTTCCTTTCTTAGATTAATAAATCATATAATCACTACCATCCATCCATCCTTGAGTGTTCTGTAATTCTTTCAAATTAATTAAGACGCTGGTTTACTTAGTGTCTATTTAAGCTGTACTTTCTGTGGGTAAAGTATTTCAATTTGTTGTTATATGCTACTAATGCAGCAAAAATCCCAGATAGAGATAAAAAGCTCTACAGATGTTATTGGGGAAGATTTAACTAAAACTAGAGAAAATCTAACTGCAGATCTGTTGGAAATGAAGTTTTTCATTGCTTCCCGTTTTCCTGCTCTATGCTAAGAATGCTGCTACACCACAGTCCAGCATGTTGTCCCTGCAGGGAGAGGAAGCTCAAAGCGTGCCTAAAGCTGAAGGGCTGGGGGGGGGGGGGGGGGGGGGGGGGGGGGGTGAAGGGAATTGAGTTTGTGTTGGGGGGGGGGGGGGGGGGGTGCTTCTGGCTGGCTGGCTGGGCCCCGCCGGGATCCCACCGTCTCTGCACAATGAAACATAGATAGGGCTGTCAGCACTCGTGATACAGTCCTTAGATATAAACAGGCATTCTTACACCCCATCCCCCCCCACGTCTTCTTAGACACACACACATTTTGAGTGCATCCCATCTCATTGTTAGCTTCTCCTTTCTGCTGTATGAATGCCAACCCATACATCCTGGAGATCCTAATGCATTAAAGCTTTCATGCTGTTCACTCAACTCAACCGTTTTCCGGTGCAGCATGCATCAACTGCTCTGTGCACTGAAAAGAAATGTTGTCCACTTCTATATATAATACAGTATAATCCATGGGTGTCAAGCTGCTGGTTTTAGCTGAACGGACAATCTGTCTGATGTTGGGACTATTTCCTCTACTAACACCAGTTGGGACTTTTTTCTATAGCTTTCAATGAGATAAAAGAAACTGTGTGCTTAAGATTAGGAGCAGGAGCTTTGCTCTCAGGTGGTGGGAACAGAGGCTGCATGTTGGAGGTGCAACCGATAGGAGTACAGCCAGACCTGTTGCAGCAAACTAAGGCCCCGTCCACACGAATTCAAAACGAACACGAAACGCTGATATTTTCCAAAACGTTTGTCGTAAAGACGGAGACGTAAAATAAATGTTATCGTCCACACGAATACATGAAAACGCTGCAAAATGTATGCAAGGCCTGTAAGTGGAGCTGTGGTGCCAAAGCAAAAATAAGCGACGAAATGTTGGGCATGCGCACTAATATTTATACATGGTTGCCCTGCGGGTCCATTTTCGTGGTTAAGTCAAATTCAGGTGCTGAACTATGTGGTCGATATTGCTCTGTTCTTCCTGGAGATATTCCAGAAGAAGAAGATTCTGTTGTAAGCCCGACAGCAGGGTGAGTAGCATGAGCAGCAACCATTCAACACAGTACGGCGCCATTGTTGTTGTGATACTGTGTCGCGCATGCGTGTTTAGAGGCGACGCTATGACGCATGCGTGTAAGAAAAAAAATGCGGTTAGAGCTTAAAGATGGAAACGCGAAAACGGCGTTTCAAAATCTTCCCACTCTGAAGGCTGAATAAAAAAAAAGATCGTTTACAGACCCCCGAAACGCTGGCTTCGTATGGATCAGAGGCTGGTTTGGTGAAAAATGTGTGCGTTTGGGGCCAGGGTTCGGCTTCGTGTGGACGGGGCCTAAGAGTGAACACTTTTCTAGTTTTAGACACAACTAGGTTGCATTTATATGGGAGAATTATCCTGCCATAATGCAAGCGCACATAATTTCAATTTGAGAAAAGAATTTCATCTTCTTGCACTCAAAACTTATAATGCTCACACTCAAAACATGCGCTCTCTCTCAAATATTTTCTCTTCTCTCTCAAATCTTTGTTTCTTCTCTCAGATTTAATGCTTCTTGCACAGATATTTTCTCCTCTCGCTTGCCTCCTTCTCTTCGCGCACAAACCGCGCTCTGCTCGAGTCTCAGATACGCTCGCAAACCCGTAGGCTCTGCTTGCGGATCGTCGCCTAGCAATCTTTCCAGACAATAGAACGACAGCCTCAGAAAGGGTGCGCTTGTTTAACCCTACTGAGTGTGCCTGTGATAAACCTTACCGACAATAAAATGGCTTTTTAATTTAAAAGCTATTAAAATAAGAAGCTGAAAAACAACAACAATCAGGAAAGTTAAAAAAAGGAAATAATAAAGGGCGATTCAAGAATCACCAATGAAAAGTCACTTTCTGCTGGAGGCAGAATTAGCATCTGCTCTGACTAGCAAACTTTTTTTTTTTCTGACGAGCAACTCTGAGGCGGGAGTTTTCTGTTCACATCACGTCACGTCTGAAAATGGATCAACTGCAAGACTCTAAAGTAAGCAGCCTACTTTTCCCAAGACTGAACTTTGCTGAATCGAGCCACAAAACTACTGTAAATAGCAGCTTCAGCTGACGTTCTTATAAGTGGCGTAGTAGCACAGGCACACTCAGTAGGGTTAAACAAGCGCACCCTTTCTGAGGCTGTCGTTCTATTGGCTGGAAAGGTTGCTAGGCGACGATCCAACTGCAATCCGAGAGAGAGCAAAAAAATCTGCAAGCAGAGCCTACGGGTTTGCGAGCGTATCTGAGACTCGAGCAGAGCACGGTTTGTGCGCGAAGAGAAGGAGGCAAGCGAGAGGAGGAAATATCTGCAAGAAGCATTAAGTCTGAGAGAAGAAACACAGATTTGAGAGAGAAGAGAAAATATTTGAGAGAGAGCGCATGTTTTGATCATTATAAGTTTTGCGTTTTTATGTGCTCTTGCATTATGGCAATATAATTCTCCCATACATTAATGTTCTTACCTTTGGTGAAACCGGACAGCTATGAAATAAAACTCAAACATTTAGAGAAATGTTAACATGAACTTTAATTTGCAGAGTAGAATCATGCTGGTGCCCATGTGTGTACTTTCTGTGACCCTGCGCTGCATATCCCTGCTTTGTAGTAAATCAAGCTAGTTCCAGTTCTCCCAGACAGAGGCCTGCATGCTGTAGGAGAACCCATTTATTCAAAGCTCCTGCAACTCTTTACTTTAACGCAATTCCGCCTGGTTTGCTCCTTTGCATGCTGCATTGGCTCCTAAATGGACACACTTTGAAAAATGCATACCATAAAGTGCACTGTCTAGACTAGATACATGTTACTCTTAGGCTGAAAAATCAAAGATCTTTGTGCTGAAAAATGCATAACAGGAGACATCAGCTGCTGCAGCGGCCATGCAGACTAACAAGGCTCAGAGTATTTCTTCCTTTCGGTCAGCCGGCTCCAGTTACATTTTCTCCTCTATGTTTGTTATAATTCTCGCTTTCTGAAATCAGAAGGTCATTTCTATTCAGAAATATTATTATTAAATAAATCTGACAGAGAATCCTTGGAGGGAGCAACAGATTAGTGTGATGGCATGGAGGCCTTCCATCCAAAAGACTCTTAGGATCTCCCAAAAGTACCAAATCTGCTCAGATTTCTGTAATACCAGTACAGGTTATTCCAATATTCATTAAGACTATTACTTTTTTATTTTGCTGCTCTTTAAGTATTTTTTAAGTTAAGTATTCTTAATAAACAGTTTCAGAATTTGCACAAATATCTATTATTATTGGGTGATATTGATCCTAGAGAGTTTTCAGGGGTTGTTTCCTCTTTTTAAATTGGGCTGAAATTTTCATTCTTCGGTGACAGAATAAATACAAAGACAACTCATCCAACAGCAACCATTGTCAATGATTTTAACACGACGTAAAAGATGAAATGGCAGAGAGTTTCTGAGTGTTTCTTTGTGTTGCTGAATTTTTCCTATTTAAGGAGGAAAAAACGGGAGAAAAAGGATAAATTACAGAGCGGGTTGAGGAGGGAGATGAAGACAGAGTGAGCAGAGTGGCGGCAGACCACAGCGAGCAGTACAACCAGGGAGCACATGTGCGTCTGTGTGTGCACCTATAATAAAACTGCCCAAAAAAATGTTGGCAACATTAGACGCAGTGCCACATCTCCCACAAGCAAGGACACAGAAAGACAAGCTGTGACCCACACGCAGTCTGAGTACTTACTAGGCCGGGCAGGGCTGCGTGTTGCAGAGATGGGAGCCCAGTGTGGGTCTGGTGTGGGGATTACACATGCTGGAGTTGACCTGGGTGCGCTGGTCCTGCAGACAGATGGCCTTTGAAGAGATGCGACCTGAAAAATTGAGAGCAAGCGAATCTTTATGAGAATTTTCATGCATCTTGATGAGGCATCTTAAAGGAATAGTACACCCAAAACATGATTAGCCTTCATTTTCTACTCACCCCCATGCTGAACAACACTCTGGAGTACTTTTTTGATATCTCAAATGCATCTGGAGATCTGGGAGGCTTCTTGCTGTCTGCTGACATTCAAATAATGGAGGTCTATGGCGCCCGAGGCAGAAAGGTCCATAAAAGTCCACAAAAAACGTGTCAATATTCCTCCATACTGGTCGTCCAATGTATTCCAAGTGTCCTGAGTGGGTAGCATCCAGAATTTACTCGAAACGAAGTCATTCAGAATGTTTTTAGAGCATAAACAGTAGTGTATAGGATTTCCTGAAAGCGCGCACATGCGCGATCACGACGCTACGGAAGCCGGCAGACCAAACCAGATGAAAGTGCGCATTCAGCGTCTGCTCTGCCGATAATGCAAGCGTAGAAGAAGAAATGTGCTGTTTACCTGTGCAAAGAAAGAAACAACGAAAGAAAAATGTCTGAGGACTTCAGTGTTGAGGAAGAGCATGAGTTCTTTGCTGAGCTGAATGCGCACTTTCATCTGGTTTGGTCTGCCGGCTTCCGTAGCGTCGTGATCTCGCATGTGCGCGCTTTCAGGAAATCCTATACACTACTGTTTATGCTCTAAAAACATTCTAAATGACTTCGTTTCGAGTAAATTCTGGATGCTACCCACTCAGGACACTTGGAATACATTGGACGAGCAGTATGGAGGAATATTGAAACGTTTTTTGTGGACTTTTATGGACCTTTCTGCCTCGGGCGCTGGGCACCTCCATTATTTGAATGTCAGCAGACAGCAAGAAGCCTCCCAGATCTCCAGATGCATTTGAGATATCAAAAAAGTACTCCAGAGTGTTGTTCAGCATGGGGGTGAGTAGAAAATGAAGGCTAATCATGTTTTGGGTGTACTATTCCTTTAAAGCCTCGTGAGACCATCCTGATCTCGCGAGCTTTCAAGGTTTCACTCGCAGATCAGTCTGGAGACTCTCCATTGAAGACAATTTGGAGCCGTTCACCAAACGAACGTCCAATCAGCGTTGGCTTTGAGGCGGGTTGAGGTGTGACGAAACGAGAAGCGCGACAGTTCAGTCTAAAGAACATGGCGGCTTCAGCCGATGAAACTAGCGTTAGCGTGGCTATCGAGCAAGTTTTATCGGAATTACAGAGTATTTCTTCAATGAAAGAAGAGCAAAACACTGCTCTGGAGGCTTTTCTCAGAGGAAAAGATGTTTTTGCTCTTCTCCAGACTGGTTTCGGCAAGAGTTTGATCTATCAATTGGCTCCTCTTCGTTGTCCCTCTGTTAGTACGTCATATGCTTCGTTGATCTGATTGGTTTATTTGGCCCGTCTATCACCAACATAGGCCAATTAGCTAACCAGTATTTTCGCCCCTTCCCAAAATTACTTCAACGGAAGGTTTCCAGACGGATATGCGGAGCAAATCCATCTGGCGGAGTCCGGTTAGCATCTTAATCTTTTTTTGTTTCTCTACAAATGCGACTACATTTAAGACAATACAGAAGAATATTTAATTTCCCGCATCTCCTGCGTTTGAGTGGGTCAAGTTAGAAAAAAATTTAGTAAAGATTTTCTTTTCCTACATGCAAGGAAAGCACAGCTGTAATCATTGTCCAGGCTCATCACCCAGCTGTGCATGACATTCTTAAAACAGAACAGGTAAAAGGTTTAAATGCAAAATATGATGAAAGAAGAAACAAGAAAAACAGTTACAACAAACAGTTAAAGCCTTATAACTGTGTGAGGCCTTTGGCAGGTGATTCTCAGAGTGTCAGGACTCCAGTCTGTGTGTTTGTGTTTTTTTTGTGTCACCCTTCCTCCACCAGGAGGCGCCTGGTTCTGGTCCGTCTCCTCACACACCTGATGTTGGTTGCCTCGTTAAGCTGCTCTTAAGCTGTTGACTGCCACTACCTCGACACCAGAGTGTTTGCCAGTTTTGGGTACTCTAGCCAAGCTGAGTTTTTGCTGAGTAAAACTGAGTTCTTCTCTACCTGAGTTTAAACATTGTTTTTTGTTTTTGCCTCTCGGCAGGAAGTCATCCTGCAAACTGGATCTTTCGGACCTTCACTCCCTGGAAGGGATCAACTGAGCCTCAAACTGAGCTTTTTTCTTGAACGATTTCTTGGTGATATGTCAAGAAATTTGATATAAAACCGTGGGTCCCCTAAAGGAGCCCATATAAGGTCAGCCTTACCTCCAGCACAGGGGGCCGAGCAGTCCGAGCGCACCACACCCCAGCTGTAGTCGGGTTTCCTCTCGGTGCGAGGCAGAGTGTACTCCCAAACCACACCAGGGTTCTTTCCCTGAAGTAGAATCTGTCAGGATAGAAAATGGACAGAAACATTTCAGCACATGAAGACACCTAATAGAACGGAACAAAAATGATGATTTAAAAAAAGCTGTTAGGATCTGAGCTGGTCCTGCACCGTGGTGCAGTTTGTTACACTGCTGCCTTGCAGCAAGAAGGATCCAGCTTCGATTCCCGGCCCATTTTCATTCTCCATAGTGTTTGCATGTATGTGTGCATGCATGGATTCTCTTTGGGTACTGTGGCTTCCCCCCCACGGTCCAAAAACATGCCTGTTAGCTTAATGGCTTCCTAAATTGATCTTAGGTGTGAATGTGTGTGTGTGCATGGATGTTCAGGGTGTACCCAGCCTTTTACCCATAGACTGCCAGAGATAGACACGGCCACAGCACAAGATCGATTAATGGATAATGTAACTAAACACCACATTTATAACAATTGCACCCAGTGGTAGAACTCTAAAATCCACAAATCTCTCAGGTAACCTGCAGCGGGGTTCTATTATTCCACTTTAGCTGCTCAGGGTCGCCTTTCCTTCACACCATCAGACTGTCATGATCTGGTCTGTTTGCTCGTCCCTAATTAGTCATTCCTGTCGTTTTCCCTCCCTGCCTCAATTATAATTTATTCCTCTCACCTGTTTCCTCTGGTTTAAATTCAGTTCAGCCTGAGCATTCAGTGCCAGATAATTTCTTGTCTTTCTGTCAGTCTGTCTGTTCAGTTTTAGTTCATGGTTCATGTCCTGGATCCTAGCAGCCAGTGGAAAGAGGGTTTTTCTTTGTCTCGTCTCCTGATCGTCCACTGTTCCTCCCCCGCGGAGTCCTCTGGAATTTGACTCAATATGTGGGGAGGTTCAGTTTTTATCCAGTAAGCCTGGCTCCAGGGAGGAGACCAGTATAAAGTCCTGCTTCAAGTTCCGGTTCCAGGTCCTGTCTCGGCTACCCTCTTCCACTGAGCCTGCTCATCTGCACCTGATCCTGTCTGCTCCTGTGCGTGACCACCTGGTCACTCTTCAGAACTCTGTCAGACTCTGAATCTGTCCCGGAGCTCTGTAATAGCTTGGAAGCCTGGATCTTGTTCCTGCCTGATCTGTATCCCTGATCAGGATCGGCTGCAGCACCGGGGACACTCTGGGTGACGCGAGCCCATCGGCTGGATCGCAACCCCCTCTGAGGGCATGGACTGAACTGTTCAACCAGAGAGTGTCTGAGATTGGGTGGTGCCCCGCCTCCCTCCTGCAGCGTCCGCGAGCCTCCACTTCAGTTTTTGTTTTATTTTAATTAAACCTTTTTTGAACTTTCCTACTGACTGTCTCTCCTTGAATACTGGGTCCTTCTGTCCGCGTTTCATGTCACAGACGAACTGACTATCTGTTCAGATCACATAAAGCAGCCAGTAGATCCCTCACACCAGCAACTTCCCTGTTCTGTGTAATGTGTTTATTTATCTATTCATTAAAGGAGGGGACTAAAACCAAAATTACAGCATAGACTATCTTTGATTTAAGATATCTCTTCATTTTAGCTCCTTGGATCTTATCTCATCTTTAAAAAATCACAGCAACCAGATTCTAAGGGTTAAAGCAGCGCACTTCAGGTGGGCTGATGATAACAACACCAAATCGCTATGGGATATTTTTTCTTTGTCAAAAATGCTTAAGAAATAAAAAATAAGATTACTAGGATCAACACAAAAATCACATAAATCAAACAGCTTTTCGTTATTTCTAAAAAAAAAAAAATTGACTTATGATCACCTGAACTAAATGGAAATCTAAATAAGTCATTTTTGCTCAAATTAAGTGCAGTTTTTCTTGAATTAAGGAGGTAAATGAGACACTTTGCCAATGGAACAAGACAATTTACACTTAAAATAAGAAAAAACAATTGCTTTGTCTTATTTCAAGTGTATATCATCTAATTATCTCATTTTAGGAGTAAAAATACTCATTCCATTGGCAGATCATCTTATTTGCCTGCTCAAATTAAGGGTGAATACACCTCATTTAAGACATTTTTTACTTATTTCTAGATGTTTTTTGCAGTGAAGCTAATTTCCTGGCCCCATCCAGGCTCAACAGAGCTGAGCGATTCGTCCGACTCAGTCAGCCTCGGCTCACTGCCAGACCGAGGTCCAAAGGACAAATGTTTATCTACTGGGAAACAACAAGCTTTACCAGCAGCACACTTCCACAAACAAACACTGAGTTAGCTTGAGCAGAAACCTGTGGCAGTAGATATAATTCTGGTCAGTCCTTCTCACCAGTGGCACTCATGATTCAAAGTTTTAAATGTTTTGCTTGTGTTTTTTTTCTTCTTCTTGCAAATGTTCTGCTTTACTAGCAGAAATGTAGTCAATAAACAGAGCATGTTGTCAAAATTCCTGTTAATTAAATAATGCACTGAAGAAAAAGAATATTCTAAGTTAGAAAAAACTGAGGAAGGCTTCCATTTTGTTTTGTAAATAAACCTTAAAAGCTACGTAGAAAGGTTCCTAACACCAAAGTTACTTCTCCTTTTTTAACTTCATAGGTCTTCATTTTCTGTTGCTCAAAATGTCTGCAACACACATTTTTGAGGCAGTCTTCGCATGAAAACTGTTTTAAGTTCTGGTTACCAGTAATGTTTTCAAAAACTGGTGACCTGACCTTCAACCAGTCCCTAAAAACAATAAAAAATATAAATAAACAAGTCCCTAAAAACTGTATTCAAGTAAGATTAGTGCTACTTCATCATCATTTTTCTCAAGTAAGAGTAAAAAGAGTGAAGGAGGATATGAGGCGTTGATGCCAGAATAGTTTATGCAGCTAACCTCTACACACTCAAAGAGCTTTTTAGGCTGGTATTAATAAACTTTATCTTTCCTTTGTATGCTCACATCCCAAAAAAACAAAACAGAACATGAGAAATCCATTTTCTCTGATATGAAACAGTTTACAGAAATATATTACATTCATCTGATCTATCTAATTATACTGCATAACAGACTATCCTCAATGGGCCAGACCCATGTGATACAAATACAGGTTAATTGTTTTATTTCATTAAATGACCGCAGCATGTCAGGTACTATCTAAGAGAAAAAAATAATCGCTACAAAGGAGAACAGTAATAAAATTGTATAGAGATGATTCTGGTGACTCTGCTTATATGTTTCGAAGATGATCAGACTGAAGTTTACTGGGGTTGAGTAGATAGAGCCTTTAGCACAAGGCTAACCAAAATGCCTGTGATTCAGATAAATCTGTAAATATGCTGTTAGCAGGGTTCCTACAGCATAAAGCAAGTTAAATTCAAGACTTTTTAAGACTTTTTAATGCCACTTGAAATAAAAATTTAAGACCAAATTCAAAAGAAACACAAGAAAAACCCGCTTGCGACAACTTAACCCAAAGGTTTATTTTAACATAAACCGCTGCACTAATGTTTCAAATTTGGAAAAGCTTCCCATACAGGAAGAAAGCTAAAAACACACAAATGACAGATATATTTGAACAATTATTTAACTAATTTCCCAAACTTTGTTTTGGCAGGGAACAAAACAAATCAGTTTTAAAGCCCCAACATAACCAGTGCTAAGTCTTTTTTGCAGCTATTTTTCTTTGTATGGTTTTCTTAGTATGTTTGATTTGGTGATAAGTGGAGGCGTTGCAGAGACAAGGGTGGAACTAAACTGAGAAATACCGGCTGTTTCTCTGTAACTCCATTTTGACGCTTTGCGTTTCGCGCTTCGCATGTGCGACTCCACTGCCTTAATTCCCATCGTTCTGAGCTTGAATGACTTCTTGCACTAAATCCACTGAGCCTCATGTATGTTCCCTGGTTTTAGCCATGGAGAAAACTCTTGGCTGGAGACTATTTTGGTTACATTTACACTTGCTCATATTTTCCAGACAAAAAGTTAATGGTGCATCTCCTAATGTCCCGGCAGCAACAACGCTTTTATTGGTTCCGCTATCGGGACGGAACCAATAATGGCGAGCCGTTATTTTTTTTTTAATAAAAAAAAAAATGTCAATTTTAATGTTTTATTTAGATTACAAAAATAAATCGTGATAAAAATTATCCTATTTATGATGTTTTAAAAATTAAGACTACGAAAGACTGATTTAAGACATTTTAATACCAATTAAGGCCTTAGTTTTATTTTGAAGAATTCAATGCCTTTTAAGACTTTTTAAGAACCCGCGGGAACCCTGCGTTAGAGACCCATTTGAAAACATGTGCAACAAATTAATAAAGGCTATTAATGTTCCCTGCAAATAATCAAGCAAAAAGAAAAAAATCACAAAGCTAAAAAAAAAACTTTAAAATCTAAAAAAAAAAAAGTTATTTTAGGTGTAAGATCAGAATGAATGCAAGACTGGTGCTAATCTGTGCAAACTGCACGGCGACGGCAGACGGCAGAGTCGTGATTTTCACACATCATCGAGTCACTCCAGAGGACGAGGAATTACAATCTGCTGGGTGCAGATATCAGGCTCACTAAGTTGTGTTTTAGACTGGCACGACCTCGTCCTGCCAAAGCACAAGAATTTCAATTCCAGGAGGGAATAATCCCGCTTAGCGTCTACGGAGACATCCGGAAGCAGCCATATGTTACACCGCCTCCCCCTTCCCCCTCTGCTCAACCAGCTGAGCAGCTGTCCAGATGTGAGCACCTTGTCACAGCTCACACTCCTCAACATGTGTTTTAGAGCTGAATAAGGACCTGTGAGTGATCCATGATCCCCCTCCCCCGCCGCCTTCCTCTTTTTTTAATTACAGGGACTAACAGGCCTAAAGCTGAATGTTTGAAGCAGATGAAGATCTGCATTAGGAAGAACTTTACAGTTCAAGATCATGTTCTCTGACCTTAACGCCACACATCCAAAGAGTTCAGTTGCCAAAATCTTAATCTTTTAATCTCCTCTTCCATCAGTCTGTTCTTATCTCTGTATCAACCTCTGTCTCCTCTTCTGTAATTACTGGATGTACTGATAGAGATTATGCTGACATCATCTGAAAC